ATACAATAGCAGATAAGAGTGACAATGAAAAACTAACTGTAAACTGGATTTATTACGAATAGCGAAGACATGTTGTATTGTTCCTATATATCGGATCCTCTAAGCTCAGCCAGTCAACGCTACGCATCAGCGCTATATATTGTTACAATGTGAACAAAAAACTCCGTTATTTGGGTTATCTACTATATAATAGTAGAAAGAGCCGAAGTGTCGTTTTCCGTATCTCCTCCGAAGCCGTGCCGCGTGTGTTTACGCGAATCGAGCTGGGGCCTCTTCTGGGCGTTGCGAATACATTCCGCTACGTTAGAACGCGATTTTTCCATCGGAAAGTGACTTTTGGAGGCAATTTTCTAAAAAGTTATGTGCGCGAGGAAACTTCGGCATTCATCGGAAACCCGCACCAACTTTTAAGATTGCAAAATCAGCATGCGCAGTCCAAGCAGAGTACGTGAATCACCTTGTGATTAACGTGCTCTCATCGGAAACCCGCACCAAATTTTAAGATCGCCAAATCCGCATGCGCAGTCCAATCAGAGCATGTGAATCACCTGCCACCACAACGTCCAAGATCACGGCGTGGACGAAGTAAGTCTCGACGATCTGCAGCCGGATATCCGCGCGAAGCGCTCAAACGCCGCGTAGCGGCGCACTTTTGCAATTTCGCTGCCCTCTTCCCAACGCCAGTACTGAGGTCCTTTCCTAGGAGTAGGTGAAAGCCGGCTTTTCGCTCTGTTCTGCAGTTCTGCCCATTGCACGAGGGATCGCACTACCCAGTTAGGTAGAGACTGGCTAGAAATGCTCCCAATTCTTTGTTCGCTAGTAGGCGCGCTTTCTTTGCTGTTATTATATATATATATATATATATTTATATATTTATTTATTTATTTATTTATTTATATATATATATATATAAATATAAGTGTACGTTCATTTATTAGTGTTATATGGATTACAAACTAAGACAACAGAAAATTGGTTAAAGAATCTCTACAATAGATGTATCTTTTTGTATCATTGTACGGTTAAACAATTAGCGACGAGAAAATATCTACCGCAATACAAACGAATAGTTGCGTAGTACGCTATCGAAATAGGGCCTGTTTTCTCTGCCCATCAATTTACGAAATACAAGCAAGTGCTACCGCTAATGACAACACGGCTCTATATGTCTGCGCAGTTCTAAACAACGTTTCCACTGATAGTTGAAAACGTTTCCTTCCTCCGTACGCACGTGAATACGTTAGTCAAGCATTGTAAGCCGACGATGTAAGCCCAGACGGTGCATGCATTGTGGAGCGTGTGTATGAACGCATTCAACGTAAGGTGGCATTAGGGAAACCGCCACTGTATTGACACGGACCGCCGAACAGATAATCTATTGTCGTATTATCCGCATCTATATAGTAGCGTCTCTCAGCGACCATCGCTGATATCCATCTTTCGACATGTGCCGATCGGCGCAAACCACGGATCGGGAGAACTCGCGCCACGGCCTGCGAATATGCGACCGTGAACTGCACCGTTAAAGTACGTGTTCAATGAACGAACACCTTAGCAACGTAGTTTCGTTAATGTACGACCCGTAATGCCAGTACGAGGCTGACTATATTCAGGCAGAAAGACACTAATCGGCACACCTACAGGGAAGTGTTGTCGGTCGTCAGATCCCTATCATTATAGCGTTGTCTAAATATAATACAATTGCGCGTAGATGGCGTGTAATATGAGGGTTAATTCCGCTAGTTATATCATCCTTACATAATCGTCGTTACCTATTAAGCAGGCATACTATGAGGTGCAGCTCATTTCACGTATTTCACGGTCTACAAGTTCGCTTGACAAAACAACTAAATCATGCGTGTAGTGTCCAGTACGATAACAAACGCATTATACGCGCGCAACTGTATCGGGTTCTATCTAAAGAGTATATACTAGTGTCCTGACTCTCGCTACGTCGGTTTATCGGGAGGGGAGCGTCACGCACCGGGGACGAACAATTAGGAGTTAATGAACGCGACGATCCCGTCCATGGCAATCGCTACGCGCGTGCTCACCATGAAGAGGATTCACCAACTCACGCGCAGGCGACACAATCAGGTGCGCGCCCGTGTGTCACTAAGTGTAATTTAACGTTATCGGGCCATGATGAAAATCTGCCTTAAATCCGTCAGTCTCCGTCGCATGCAGGTGCACCGTAGCTAGGGGGCAGTGTATACCCCCGTGCCGCCCGCCCACAGCAGCAGCTGCTGCTACTGCTGCTACTGCTACTGCTGCTACTGCTGCCTAGCGTCATATCCATGAGTGGACAGACAGTAGCTCAGCGTAGATGTTCACCTGTTTCCGTGCGCATAAAGCACAGCATTCATCATATAGCCGGACACGCAGCAGAGTCGCAACTCTCTATCTATCGCTGCTCTCATACAAGCGATATTTCGCATGAAGTGTATTTTGTCCGCGAATAGTTCCACGCGGAATAAGAATAATTCACATACATACTATACATGCAAACGACTCCGATAACGGCACGCGCCTCTATGAGATGTCCACTCAGGTGGTTAACATAGCAGGGAACTGCTGTGCGCCGTTGACAGGATGATGACCGTAAACGAAACGCCCCGGCGTGTTTTTTCCGCGTGCCGCGCTTTGTAAAGTCGGCATTGTGCGTTTTTCCCGCTGCGGCGGCTGCTGCTGCTGCCGGGAGACGCGCCGTGGCACCGTTGCCACGCTGGCGAAAATTAGACGGGCGGCCCGGTGCGCTGTGCATTGTAGTCGGCAGATTACGGGCCTTTATTTGGGTAATTACACATGTCACGCCCGCCGATATGCTTTAATGTCGTTTAATGACACCTCTAATGTCGCCTAATATTTCCTAATAACAGCCGATTTAGACTTGACCATTCAGGTCGCAGGCAGATGCAGCTATTCTCCGCGACGGCAGAATTTAATTTGCGCAAATTATTCAATATATGTTGAAACGCGAAGTTTTGCGCGTCAACGTTCCGTTTGTGCGCTGTGTTTAACTTCATCAACCCTTTGATTAAACTGCGCTCCCGATTCGTCACGATATAATGCATGTGTGGTCTTGAGGAAAGCGAGAGAGAGAGAGAACGAGAAAAGTGTTTCGTTGAAAAATCGGAGGTATCGCATGTAAACGTAACCGCGCGATTAACGGCATTCAGACCGTTCTACATCCTCGTTGTAGTCGTGTATATATATATATATATATATATATATATATTAACGGTGTGTGTGTTGTGTCCCCTGTGCGCTGTGTGTGGTTGTGTGTGTGTGTGGGTGTTGTGTGCTGTGTGTTGTGTGCGCCATGTGTGTGTGTTGTGTGTGTGTGTGTGAGTGTTGTGTGCTGTGCCGGTGTGTGTGTTTGTGGTTGTGCTGTGTGTGTGGTTGTGTGTGTGTGTGTGTGTGTGTGTGTGCGCTGGATGGTGTGTGTGTGCGCATGTATGTGTATGTATATGTGATGTGTTGTGTACTAAATCTAATGTTTGTCAACTCTCTCGCAGACAACACCGTTGAGGCCCGAACGAAGCTGAGCAATTCGACGTTCGCCGGTGTCGACGGAGACGGCTTCGGACTGCCGCCACTCGCCGGACACTCCTTGTCGTGGGTCAACGAGAAGAGCAAGCCGTATGGTCCTAACAACACGATGCATGCCAAGGTGTGGACGCCAGAGGACCCGCGTCAGGTTGACGGCAAGTGCTGCGTGCAAACGTCACAAGCTCCGGTGTGATAAGTCATGCTTAGCGAGAGTCTATAGCGAAGATGCTGATACACACATACAGATATGCATATGAATATATATATTACACGTGCTAAACAAGTTATGATTGACTAACCGAACAGTAATGGCTTTGTTGTTGAGCATCACCCTTTGTATATCTAAGTTCACAGATATACGTCATGGGGATGATAGTGAAATTCTATGTCAACGTATTACACGAGCTATCCGAATTTTCCGGCGCCCACGTTCCGACTATAAAGGTTACTGCATATGTAAAAAAAACACGTAATATAAAGTTCGCTGAGCTTGTGTGTATTGACGGGTTACGAAAGTTGGCTTTAGAAGTTAACATCAAATTGTACGAATGTACCAAAGACATCTTATTTCTCCAATCTACGTCTATAATCTATTTTCATGTTATTTACCGTGCGATTATAAACTCTGTGCCTTTAGCAATACATAAGGTGTGCGTGGTAGGAAAATCGTTTTAAATAGTATAGAGCCTGCTTGCTATATCGTGCAATAGTGAACTGTAAATATTTTGTACAGAGAATACTGTAAGTCATTCACCCTGGTTTTCATGTTCCTGTACTCAACGCATGTGTCATTGACTGTCAGATTTATGACGTAAATATATGGCTTTCACGGTACTTGCGCTGTATGAAATATCGCATAACATGATCTGCTATGTGTGTATGTATGTATGTATATATTTATATTCGTGCGTGCGCGCGTGCGCGCGTGCGTGCGTGAGCGCACATGTGAAAGAAATAGTGTTTATCATATCGATTATATGTAAATCTAATTTATTATTATTGGAAATAAAGAATATGTATGGTGTGCTATATATACCTGTTTACTTGTCTTAATAACCCTGTACTATTCACTTGAGCATTAAATTTAAGCGATTGTTAATCTAAAGACTGCTCTATAACTGGTTCTTGCTAACAATACTGATCGCGGTGTAATATTCATCTGCATACCTCACAAGACGATTAGAATAACAATTTTTTAATTCGCCTATTTGATTTTTTAAACAATTTTGTAACAATGCCATAGTCTAGTTTTATGCACGTTTACTCTATTCGTTTTAAAAGACTCATGCGCGCACGCACACACGTTCACGCAAGCACGAACACGCACGCATGCACACACGCACACACAAGCATGCAAGCGTGAACACGCACGCATGCACACACGCACACGCAAGCACGCAAGCATGAACACGCACGCATGCACACACGCACACACAAGCATGCAAGCGTGAACACGCACGCATGCACACACGCACACACAAGCATGCAAGCGTGAACACGCACGCATGCACACACGACGGCAAGGTTCGCGCTATATCATGAACTTGCAATTGAAGTGGGGATTACCGGGTTGATGGATGGGGCTCAAGATAAACTAGACACGGCAGCGAACAAAACCTGCTTGGTGACTACGACAATTCCAAACACAAAGCCACAGGACGCGCCATGCTGGGCACAGGACTACCCGGGTTCATAACATCGTAACTATATACGCGTGTAAGCATAGGGGTGCGCGTGCGCTGCATGTGCGCGCAGGTATGTGCACGTATAACGCATTTGTTGAAGCCAATTATACTAAAACCACTATAGGTGACACATCCGAGCGAATATTATAGGTCAGCAGTGTCGTTGAAAATGTAGTATGAGCAAAACAGATAGCGATTCATCTGCATTATTATAATATTATAATTACGTACAATTACTGTTAGCTATTTACGTCTGCTACATTAAAAAAAACCTACTACTGCTACCCCTAAACTGCTACATTAAAGCCCCTATTTGCCACTACATATGCCACTATATATGCCACTATTTATTTGTCATCTTATCTCTAGACGTGTTGAATAAAAAACTATTAAATTTTGTCATTACTAATCTAGTACAGCATGACCACACTTCAAGCTAAAATGTATTAAAGCTGTAATTTACACACACACACACACACACACGCACGCACGCACGCACGCACGCACGCACGCACGCACGCACGCACGCGCGCACGCACATAAACACACACTCGCGCACGCACGCACGAACGCACTAACAAACACGGAAACACGGATGAATATAAATAACTAAGGCGTTTTAAGTTTTCCGAATCTGACATTCTAAATGATTTTCTCCAATGCCATAACATTCAATAGTATATGTCTGTGCTTGCCTGCGATTTCCACGTCCTTAATTCTTGAGATTGGGTTAAAAAAAGTCCATCGCCTTGCCACGCGTGGCATTCGCAAGGCAAACTAGAGATGGTAGAATAGCGACGAAGATGCTTGCAGTCGTGACTGAACTTTAGTCGCCAATTGATTTTCGGATCTGCTATGCAGGAACATCTGCGAGTGCAGCAGAATTTTCCCACTCGTTGGCGCAATGATATAGCGCACACAGTCAATATTGTCCGCCTACAGCGATGGCGCCGTTACTCCGTCATACGCTAGCAGCATTCTATAAGCTGGTACAGCCAGACGTATCGCGAGAAGTAGATAATGCTTTCATCGTAGTTGTGTAAGAATAATGTGCCCCCCCCCCATCAATATGCCGCAAGTTGACTGGGAAACCTCCTTGCGACTCTGCCGGGGATATACGATACCAGTACGTCGTAGGACGTTATAGTTATGTATAGCTCTAGAATTATAGCCCTTTGCTCCGCCGCAGGAAGCGAAGGGCGGAGCGAATTCATGTACAGGCTTTCCTATGGCGCAGCGAAGGGCTGTTGTTCTAGAGCTAAGTTATGTAATGCTGACGGTGCCTAATATACTCCGCATTGGAACTACATGAAGTGCGAAACCCCGTACACATATAAACTAGAATATTATTCATACTGCTAGTGAAACATTACAGAATATTGACAATTTCTGATAGCGTCGGACTATAGCGCTAAAGATCAAACCACTGATATATGATTGCGCGAGTAATGTGTAACATAATTAACATAAGAAATGTGTTGTAAAGTGCGGGCCAATTCTACCGTGCACATATCGCCAGCTCTGACACATGCACGCGTATAACTAACAAGTCCAATTACTGATTAATTTTTCCCAAGTTTTATGCCATTTGAATCGACGGACGAAAACAGCTTTACTAAATAATTTACTCATCGTAATCGTCGTACAAGAATCATTGGCTTCATCTATGCCAGCCCACCCTGGTTCGTTCTGATTACCAAATGCACTCATACCTATACGATCTGATATACTATAAATATCAAAGAGCGTATATAAAGTGTCTAAAATAATAGTTTAGTTAGTTAATATTATATCAGTTTATATATTCTTAGTATGTCCTATCTGAATGATGTATTCCCTTGCCGGCCACCGTGATACGATGACAAAAATAAACAACTGTAACGTAAAAATTCTCTTATATAACTGATCTTGGAAATCTTGGTCAAGCTGAATTACGGACAGCAAAATCAAATATATTAAATAAATTTATATAGTGATTCATCAATCAGTTATGTAACCACCACTGCTGTATAGATAGTCCTAGCCCTCACGTAGCAATGAGGCTGGCGCTTATAGTAGTTGGTTCTTTATGCTATATATTATGCTTGTGTGCTGTGCACTGCTGTGTGTGTGATGTGTGTGTGCTGTGTGTGTGTGTTGCGTGTGTGCTGTTGTAGTGTGTGGTGTGATGTGTGTGCGTGCTGTGTGTGCTGAAGGCCAGTACACACCCGCCCGGCATCTTCTACACTCACAGTCACCGGACGACGCTGTTTATTTCCAGCAAATTCAATATTTATAAGCGCTTAGAAGAACGATTCGCCAGCTGATTCTTCGGGAGACGCAGCAGTTTCGATTGGCAGGCAGGCAAGCAGGCGGGCGGGCACGCACAGGAAGGCATTGCCGCTCGATAGACGGGTGGCGTCGCCAACCGGCCCCCGGGGCGGCGGGCCCGCGGGCGCGCCGCGGGCGGCGCGCCCCAGCCGTCGCTGCGCCCCCCGGGGTCCCGATTTTCTGTGTGCACGCGCTCTACCCTCAGCGTCCTTGTGTATTTAACTAATCCCGCAACGCGCGCGTCTCGCCTGTGGCCATGTCGTGCGTATCGTGCGCGCGTTCGTGTGCGATGTGCTGCGTTCGTGCGCGCGCGCTGTGCCTGCATGTGTGCGATTCGTGCGGCGCGTGTGCTGCATCTGTGCTGAAACCCCGTTCGTCGCGGCGCGTGTGTGCATGTGTGAGTTCGTTGCGCGCCGTCGTGCATGTGTGCGTTCGTGGGCGCGTGTGTGCATGTGTGCGTTCGTGGGCGCGTGTGTGCATGTGTGCGTTCTAGCGCGCGTGCGTGAGTTTTTGTCGTGTCACACGTGCAGGCGAGTGTTAGTAGTGGGTGTGCGTGGCATCGCGTGAGGGTACGTGCAAAGAGGTTCACGTAGACACGAATGCCGGGTGTGTGCGCGGGTGTATAAGCGTGCGCGCATGTGTTGAAACTGAATACTGTGATTCGACACGGCCTTCTTACTCTATCCCCATATGGTTATGGTAATCAACAACAACAAAATAATTACGACCCGTCATTAAAAGTCATGTGACATGCTACTTCTGCCAGTTACAGATGAGATTAATGTGGTAGTAATAGGGTTGTGTTCAACATTTTAATTCTTTGTTCATATTACCTAACAGCACAAACCCAAACGGCAAATATTGGCTACAAGTTCGCACTTGCTTTCGCTCGCACACGCAGCATAATGCAGTGCGTTAACTTATCTGTGGTTATCAAGCCATATACCTACTAACTTGCAACAATAATGCCTGAACAAATATATCAGCTAGCATTACCCATTTTGCGCTATTGTCAATCATCGAAGGCATCTCTGCCGAGCACAGGAATAAGTGCCTAGACAGCATGGCACCAGCCATTGCAAATCTGTTAGCTCTACTGTTGCTGCAGTGTTTACTGTATTCGATTACGTCAATGGTGATTTAATTTAAGGTCGCTTTTATGACGATTATTAGTAAAAATGGTCTCTTGACTGACATGAATCTTATTAAAAAAAACATCTGATGTATCTAGCGATGCTAGTCATCACGTAGAAAGTAAACGGACGCTTGTGTGTGTAGTGTACAAGCGTATGCCTTTCTGCGTATGCTGCATACGAATGTTACGCAACTATGTTTAAGTAAATATCATCTATTAACGTCTACTATATACATACATATATATATATATATAATTAAAATTAAAATCAAAATTAAAATTAAAATTAAAATATAGATGTATGGTATCGTATATTTCATATATTCCATGGAACAAGCTTGTATTTAACATCGATCTGCTCGACCCACCGAATCAAGGTGATAGTAAGCCAGACTATAGTACAAGGGACTGCGACATTACGACATGAACGTCAGAGATTCACGTGAAAATATAACCCAGTATCGCAGTAATGTCGTGCAGATACTGGTAGCTCGTGTGTGGTAGTACCATCATACAATTGATATGTTAAACTGTTTACCATCAGCAGCCTGGCGTCAGTTAGATGTACACATGAGCTCCAAGCTCAAACATTGCTTCAATTCGAATCGTTTACAGAAGTCAGCACGAATAGAAAGCAGGCAACATAGAGCGCCTTGTGTCCGAGTCACTCAGCAGAGAGAAGCTGCTGTTGAGCATGAAATTGTGTGCAAAACACTTTGTTTTCTTTATTTGCCGTAGCCGACCATTGAAGGCGTGAGAAATTGCAGCCTGCACTCCCGGGCCGCGTTCAACCCTTTGCCACTTATACCTGCCAAGTGTACGTCTTTTGTTCCGGCGAGCTCGACGGCGCATGCGCGAGCCGGTGCTAATGGAAGAAGGGGGAACCCACTCGTGTCGTAAC